TCAACTATGAGTATAGAAACAAAGTTCTTAATGTTTTAATATATATATATATATATATATATATATATATATATATATATATATATATATATATATATATATATATATATATATATATATACACCTAGTGAGCCAGACAAACCTACCTAGGTTTCACCTTTAACGGATCGTCAGGGAAAGTACTTACTTTCCCTGACGATCCGTTTAGGTCTGGCTCACTAGGTGTATCTAGTTCTGCTCTACGGTTGTATTGAGCGCTTTTGTTAGTTAGTTGTTTACTCGTATCGGGTTTTTTTTCTTTGGGCTTCAGACCTGCATCTGTGCGATTTTTTGTCGACAGAAGTTCATGTTTTTTTTTTTAAAACCTTTTTTTTTTCTCGAGATTGATTTGATTATTAGCAAATCAAAAATTCGAGGGTTTTTTCGAAAACGAGTCTAGTTATCTATATATATATATATATATATATATATATATATATATATATATATATATATTATTCATGAATTATTCATACAAAAACAAATGCAAAGGTTAATGATTTAATTGGCGAGAAATCCATCGTCGCAAACAATTCAAATAATATACAAAAACATCCGAATCCGTTATGAATGAAAAGATCCTTGTTTCTATAAATTTCTGCCGTATTAGTTCTTATTTTTACTACAAGCTTTCGTCTGTTCCTACAAACATCTTCAGGTATAGAATAGATGTTGTTCTTGCTTTTTCTCTTAGTAATAAGAGGACAACGAAAATATATGTATTGTTGTATCCGAAAATGCTATTGGAAATGAGTTATTGTTTTTGGAGCGCGCAGTAGCAACGCTGAGTTTGATTTTAAATTTTTTACAGTTGTGCGTTCATGTACAAATATGGTGATGAACGAATTTTTTACTGGTAAATTTTCTGTCAAAGTGGCATGAACTATATTGTTCAATAATTAGAGTAATGTCGCACTTATTATCCAAAAGTCGCACTTGGATCAGTTATTTTAATTACGATAAACGTGCAATCAATATATATATATATATATATATACCGCTAAAAACATATATGTGTGTGTGTGTGTGTGTGTGTGTGTGTGTGTGTGTGTGTGTGTGTGTGTGTGTGGCAGAATGATAAAAAATAAAAAAATAAAATCAAAGATATTACTTACATTATACTGTAGAGAGAAAAAAGACAGGTGAATATTGAATTTGACAGAAATGCTTATACACATTCACAGACAATTTAAACAGCTGAAGATGGACACAGATGAGATTGAAAGTACTTGAAAAAAAAAAAATTTTTGAAAGAAAATTTTCGGGTTTTTTCTTAATTAATTTTCTAAGTGTACCAATTAATTAATCCGTGAACTTGAACGGATCACAACCAAAATCAAATCCCATGTGCTGATGTCGGGCTGTACTAGGAAATTATCTGCTTCGAGTATATATTATCATCCACGGACAGACTGTTTTGCTGTATCACAGCTCATCAGTGTGGCTAGGTATGCGATATCTTCAGGCCGGAACCCGACCGATTAGGTATCACTCGGAACTTCTCAGACCTAGGCCATCGACGAAGAGGCGAATTGTTTCGTATTTATTTTTTTTGATAAACACAGCAGTCACTCAGAGAAATCAATCTCTAGAAGTGTCTTCATTATCAGCATTAGTGAGTGTTTAGAAATTCGTTTCTTACTCCTCACATTGCTCGACCGATTAAATTATTTTATCGAGGGCTAATATCGTCATCCACAGACAGACAGTTTCGGTGTATCACAGCTCATCAGTGTGGGTAGACATCCGATCTCTTCAGGGCGGAACCGAAACCCGACCGATATGGTATCATTCGGAGATTCTAACCCTAATATATATATATATATATATATATATATATATATATATATATATATATATATATATATATATATTTACATTATTCGGACTATTGTCCTCATCTTTGTCGCTATATTTATTACAACGTTTGGGCCGTTGTACGCTCCGGCCTTCTTCAGGTTATTCGAATGTCGAACTGAGCCCTTTATTTCGCTCACTGGGCTAGGGATTTCTAGTTCCACGTGCCATGTTTTAATGGATGTCAGCTATCTCCTGTTAATTCCCCTCTCCAAGTTCTCCACTGCCTTAACCGGGTATTGAACTCACACTCTTTGGGTCTTGTCACTGGATATAACCAACGACTTTATCCACTATGTCATGTATCCAGTGGATAAAGGCGTTTCTTAAGGCAGTGGAGAAACGTTGTAATAAATATGGCGGCAAAGATGAAGACAATAGTCCGAATAATGTAAATAGTGTACATAATACCTCATTTCAGAAATATAGACAGATACTGAAAGGCCGAAACTTTGTAATAAATATGGCGACAAAGATGAGGACAATAGTCCGTATAATGTAAATAGTGTACTTAATACTTCATCTCAGAAATATAGACAGATAGTGAAGGCCCGAAACGTTGTAATAAATATGGCGGCAAAGATGAGGACAATAGTCCGAATAATGTAAATAGTGTACATAATTCCTCATCTCAGAAATATAGACAGATACTGAAGGGCCGAAACGTTGTAATAAATATGGCGGCAAAGATGAAGACAATAGTCCGAATAATGTAAATAGTGTACATAATACCTCATTTCAGAAATATAGACAGATACTGAAAGGCCGAAACGTTGTAATAAATATGGCGGCAAAGATGAGGACAATAGTCCGTATAATGTAAATAGTGTACTTAATACCTCATCTCAGAAATATAGACAGATAGTGAAGGCCCGAAACGTTGTAATAAATATGGCGGCAAAGATGAGGACAATAGTCCGAATAATGTAAATAGTGTACATAATTCCTCATCTCAGATATATAGACAGATACTGAAGGCCCGAAACGTTGTAATAAATATGGCGGCAAAGATGAGGTCAATAGTCCGAATAATGTAAATAGTGTACATAATACCTCATCTCAGAAATATAGACAGATACTGAAGGGCCGAAACGTTGTAATAAATATGGCGGCAAAGATGAGGACAATAGTTCGAATAATGTAAATAGTGTACATAATTCCTCATCTCAGAAATATAGACAGATACTGAAGGGCCGAAACGTTGTAATAAGTATGGCGGCAAAGATAAGGACAATAGTCCGAATAATGTAAATAGTGTACATTATAACTCATCTATAGACAGATATTGTTATTATTATTATTATTATCATTATTAATATGAAAAATTTTGGAAGAATTGCGTCAATCATTTTATTTACTATTATTAGTAGTAGTATTAGTATTTCCTTTGATTTATGTTGTATATAAATTTCTTTCCAGGTCCCAAGGAGAGACCTAAGATCAGAAATAACTTCATGGCATTTTTCACTGATTATTTTGTAAAACAAACAATATCAAACAATAAAAAAAAATCTAAGATCACACAAATATTACATAGATAAAGCTCTTTGTAATGTCTCATCTGTACTTGTGTGTACAATTTTTTTGTTTTTCTTTAAGGTGTGAACTTCCAGGAATCCCTTCACTGAGTCTATCGGAATATTTTTAATCAATCAGAGACCCCTAACTACAACTGGATTTATTGATATGCTCATGTGCCACATTTTTCAGATTCGATTTCAAGATCCATGTATTGTGATAGGTTTCTGAAGATCATTACAGTCTACAGGGACGGCCATGGCAATACGAATGTACATTTTGTTTTTAAAAGTGGTCTTTTATCACGATGTATGGGTGATTAGATTTGATTTTTCTATCTGTATATATTGCAAAGTTACATAAATTGCTACGGTTCCTCTCTGTAACCGGGCTTGGGTGGTGGTCACATGAGTTTCTTGCAGTTTCTTTCCCGTAAAATTTGCATATTTTCCAGTACAGGTGTTGCCCCATTGTATCATAGCGAGTTTTATATTCAGTAGGTGCTAACACTGTGCAACCTTATACAAGATAGTTAGGTGTTTATCGGTATTTATCACAGAATCTGCATTTCCGGTTAATACAATTTGTCAGTATGTTAGCTTGGTAATTTCTAGTGAGTAAGTATTAGTCCTGTGCAGCAAAAATAAAATCTTCGGTTTCAGATTTTAAATCTGCACTATGTAACCACTGATGGGTAAAGGGTTTGTCTACATTAGTGTTCTTGGTACGGACAGAATATTGACTGTGAAGAGGTTTATCTTGTCATCGTTTCTGTATCTAGTAGCTTGCATTTGCCTTTGATTTCTTTTTTAGAGTCCTTTTTTTTTTTTGCAGCAGCATTAATTGTATTATTTTTTACTTGCATTTCTTCACCCAACTGAGACTCCAGTTTAAAATGGATTCTCTTAAAACTGAATAAAGTTTGTTATTTCTTTCATGTTCTTTGACGCAAATCATCATCCAGTCTTCCGTACTTTCCAGGTATCTTTGAATGTCGATTATTGTAGTTTTGTAAGATTGTTCTATGAGGAACTAATCCTCTGCCTCCTTCGGATCTGTTGAAACTGTATTTTACCACGGATACAGCCAAGGTGTTTATTTTGAGATTTCCACTTCAGGCTCCTTGTATTTTGATTGTGTATTTATTATTATTATTATTATTATTATTATTATTATTAATATCCTTCTTCGCCGTCTTCTTCTTGGCTACCTTCATCTTCTCCTTCGACATCCCTTTCTTTTCACTATTATTATTATTATTATTATTATTATTATTATTAATATCCTTCTTCGCCGTCTTCTTCTTGGCTACCTTCATCTTCTCCTTATACATCACCTTTTTCTTCACTGTTATTATTGTTATTATTATTATTATTATTATTGTCCTTCTTCTTCTTCTTCTTCTTCGTCTTCTTCTAAATCTTCTTTTTCTTACTATTATTATTATTATTATTATTGTCCTTCTTCTTCTTCTTCTTCTTCGTCTTCTTCTACATCTTCTTTTTCTTACTATTATTATTATTATTATTATTGTCCTTCTTCTTCTTCTTCTTCTTCGTCTTCTTCTACATCTTCTTTTTCTTACTATTATTATTATTATTATTATTGTCCTTCTTCGCCGTCTTCTTCTTGGCTACCTTCGTCTTCTCCTTCTACAGCTCTTTTTTCTCACTATTATTATTATTATTATTATTATTCTCCTTCTTCGCCGTCTTCTTCCTTGCCTCATTCGTCTTCTACTTCTCATTATTATTATTATTATTATTATTCTCTGCCGTCTTCTACTTGGCTACCTTCGTCTTCTCCTTCTACATCTCCTTTTTCTTCTCGCTATTATAATTATTATTCTTTAGGCAGCCTTCGTCTCCTTCCACATATCCTTTTTCTTCTCACTATTTTTATTATTATTATTATTATTATTATTATTGTCCTTCTTGGCCGTCTTCTTCTTGGCTACCTTCGTCTTCTCCTTTTACATTTCCATTTTCTTCTCACTATCATTGTTGTTGTTGTGTTCGCCCTCTTTCATATTTTTTCTTATCTAAGACTTCTAGTTATGCTTCTCGCTTCCTCGCAAACGCGTCATCATCATCATTGTCATAATCAATCTCCTGAAATCATCATGAAAGAACTTTTAAATTTTTAATATTCATCTCTTCCATTTTACATATCATCCATCTTTGTTTGTTTTTTTTGTTTTTTTGTTTGGCTAGTCTTTCCATTTAATCTGATGTGCAATTTTGATAAGCTAAAATTCTGATCTTGTTCGTCGTTCAGAAAAAAAAAAACACCAACAACCGAAAACTATCGACTTATTAGGATGCCAATGTCGTCGTCATCCGTGCGCCATCAATGTTTTCTGGTTTTAACGCAATTTTGCTGAGTAATAATAACAGGCGGCACTTTTAAAAAGCTTCTTTTCATGCTAATTTTTGCTGCGGGTTCAAACACTCTAAAATCCGAATTTGCATGTAGACACAGTAATGGCTTAGAGTCGAAATGTGTTATCTTTTATTTGGAGTATTCGTGACCTCGTCATCCCTGAAGCTGAGAAGTCTCTAAGATGCGTTATGGTAATCTCTCGAAAGGAAATACCATTGTTATTATTACTACGATGGTAATTATTAAGCTTCTTGGTTCCTATTCGCTAAAATTCCTTATTTTCTTTCTTCTTTGCCTATTCGCTCAGATTAGTTTTCTCATTGGAAATTTGCTCTTTGGGTATTATTATTATTATTATTATTATTTTTATTGTCTTTGATTTCTGGCGTTTACACATTTCTTTCCGGGTCACGCCCAGGGACCTAAGGTTAGAAATGGCGTCATGACACTTTCCAGTGACAAAAAAAAAAAAAAAAAAAGATTACATAGATAAAGCCCTTCGTAAGGTGTGGGCTGTACTTGTCAGAACAATTTTCTGTATCTCCTTGAGGCATGGACTCCCAGGAATCCCTTCAATTAGTCTACTGGAATCTTTTCCAACCAGTCCTAGGGCTCCAACTACAACAGGGATTGTTGATGTTCCCATATGCCACATTTTCAAGATTTCTATTTCAAGGTCCTTGTACTTTGACAACTTTTTGAATATCTTCAAAGATACATTGCAGTCGGCAGGGACTGCCATATCAATAAGGAGGCACCGATTTTGTTTGTGGTCTTTAATAACAATATCTGGGCGGTTGGCCTTGATTGTTCTGTCAGTGTGTATTGTGTAGTCCCATAGAATTGTAACAGGTCCTATCTCCGTAACCGGGTCTGGGTGGTGTTCATACCAGTTTCTTTCAGTTTTCTTCCCGTAGAAGTTGCAGATTTTCCAATGCAGATATTGGCCCACTCTGTCATGTCGGGTTTTATATTCAGTGGGTGCCAACACCGTACAACCTGCTACAAGATGATCAAACGTTTCTGGATATTTATCACAGAATCTGCATTTTGGGCTGACACAATATTTTAGTATATGTGCTTGATAATTCCTAGTTAGCAAGCATTGGTCCTGCGCAGCAAGGATAAAACCTTCAGTTTCCGCTTTCAACCCTGCACTACGTAGCCACTGATGGGTACGGGTTTTATCTACGTCAGCTTGTTTGGTACGGGAAGAGTATTGGCCATGAAGCGGTTTATCGTGCCATCGCTTCTGTAACTGGTCTGTTGCATTCGTCTTAGCTGTCTTTTTTAGGTATTTTGCAGTTTCAGCCGGTGTATTGTGCTGTAGTTGCATCTCTACGCCCATTTGGAACTCCATTTTGAATTTGTTGGCTTCCTTCATTACGGAGTAGAGACGCTTACTACTTTCATGTTCCTTGACGCATACCATCATCCAGTCTTCAGTAGTTTCCAAATATCTTTGGAGGCCAATTGTTGTAGTTATTATTATTATTATTATTATTATTATTATTATTATTATTGTCCTTCACAGCCGTCTTCTTCTTGGCAACTTTCGCCTTCTCCGTCACCTTTTTTTTCTTTTTTTTTATTTATTATTGTCTATTTTCAGCGTCTTCTTGGCTATCTTCGTCTATTCCTTCTACATCTGCTTTTCCTTCTCACTATTATTATTATTATTATTACTATTATTATTATTATTATTACTACTACTTGTGGCGTACATTTTCGCTTCTACATCTGTTTCTACTTCTTCTTCATCTTCTTCTTCATCTTCATCTTCTTCTTCATCTTCTTCTTCTTCTTCTTCTTCTTCTTCTTCATCTTCTTCTTCTTCTTCACCTTCTTATTTAACTATTTATTTTTTATTCACTGAAATTGTTTTCTATAATTCTTTTTATTATTTTCTTCCATAATTAAATATTTACATTCATACTAGCAGTTTTGCAGCTCCCTGTTATTATTATTGTTGTTTTTGTTGTTTTTGCCATTATTATTATTATTATTACTATTAGCTCTTCCGTTGATAATGATGACCTCATCACTTTTAATATTACCGTTAATATCACCGTAATTTCATCTCATATTTTATTGATTCTTATAAGTATTGTTAAAAATATTTCCATTATTAATATTATTATTATTAGTCGTCTTCTTCTTGGCTAACTTCGTCCTCCCGCTCTAAACTGCAATCATTTTCGCTTCGTCATTATTATTATTGTTATTTTATTTTATTTTTTGTTGTTGTTGTTGTCTTTCTTCGCCATCTTCGCCGACGCTACCTTTGTCTTCGCCTTCTGCTTCTTTTTCTACTCACTATTAGTATTATTATTATTATTATTTCTTTTTTTTTAATAATTTTCATTATGAATTTTTACCATTACACATTTTATTGCATTTTCTTCTCTTATCTCTTTGCCCATTTCTATCTGTTGTGCCATCTTCCTTACACCATTGTTACTTCTGTTATCAACATTGGAATTGCCGATTACTGAGAGGAAATTTTCTCAGTCCGCCATTCGTATGTCTTCTTTTTCTTACTCGAATCCTTTTCATTTTTGCCTTTAATCTTGTTTGCATCATTACGCCTAAGCATCTACTGTTCAATAAAAGAGTAATAATCATCAAAATCCGAAGAAGAAAAAAAAATTACTAAAATAAAATCTAAATCATCTTTAAATTAATAACCGTACAAAGCAGAGCAACAGTAGCTATTAGGACTGGTGCAGCAGTCAGCGATTCGCTTTGCGCGGGAAAACTGTGCTGCCACGATTCGTCTCTCGCCTGGGGCCAATTGCCGGGCCACGCTGTCGTATCGCATTCCAATGACTAGCGTCCACAACTCGACTTTCTATTGATGGTGTGGGGATAAAGAGACATTCTTGCAATCGATTGGGCGACTTAATTTGATTTACATTTCCTATAGGTTTAATATAATGCGAAGACTGATAGCATTTTGATTACTTATCTATAAAATTCTTCTCTTCGCTCTCTGTTTCGTTGCCGTTATAGAGATGACGAAATGCGAGCTGACATTGTATTCGTGACGTAAAGTTTTTGTTGCAAGTCTGATTCAGTTGAAATTCTGAGGTGCCGTCAGCTAAATGACTTTTAGGTGTGAGAAAGATGCTAATGGTTTTAATGATGATAGCAGCCGATATATAGTCATAGGAAAACAGGCCAACGGTAAGAGAGGAAATAGATAATAATAAATAGAAGAAGAAGAAGAAGAAGAAGAAGAAGAAGAAGAAGAAGAAGAAGAAGAAGAAGAAAAAGCTATTATTATAATGATGATGATGACGAGGGCAATATAGAGGTAAGGGAAGCCATAAAAATACGAGGATAAAGAGCAGAGAAGAAGAAGAAGAAGAAAGAAGGAAGAGAAAAAGAAAAAGAAGAAGAAGAAGAAGAAAGGAGGAGGAGAAAAAGAAGTTGGTTATTATTATTATTATTATGTAAAGATAATGACGCCGTATGAAGTCAAGGGAAGAAAAAGTGAGTAGAACCTAGCAAAAATGATAAAAAGTATAGAAGAAGAAGGAGAAGGAAAAGAAGAAGAAGAAGAAGAAGAAGAAGAAGAAGAAGAAGAAGAAGAAGAAGAAGAAGGATAACAAAAACAACAACAAAGAAAAACTCTATATAGAATACGAGTGAGAAGACGAAGAAGAAAGAGAATACGAAGGCGAAGACGAAGAAGAAAGAGAAAAAGAAGAAGTAAAAGAAGAAGCAAAAGAACGGGTAAGTGGGAATAGAAGATGAAGAAGAAAAAGAAGTAGAGGGAAGGTGGAAATAGAAGACAAAGAAGGAGAGAAAAAAGAATAAGAAACGGAAGGTGGAAGAAGAAGAAGAAGAAGAAGAAAGGAGGAGGAGAAAAACACGTTCATTATTATTATCATTATTATTATTATTATGTAAATATAATGACGCCGTATAGAAGAAGAAGAAGAAGAAGAAGAAGAAGAAGAAGAAGAAGAAGAAGAAGAAGAACAACAACAACAACAACAAGGGAAAGGTGAAAATAGAAAAAGAAGAAGATCTATGAGGAAATAGAAGAAGAAAAAGATAAAGAAGAATACGAAGGTGAAAATAGAAGAAGAAGAAGAAGAAGAAGAAGAAGAAGAAGAAGAAGAAGAAGAAGAAGAAGAAGAACTCATGAGGAGGGGAAAATTATGTAGGAAGCAAACGGTCAAATAGAATGTGGTAGGAGAGTGAAGATGAAGAAGAATGAGAAAGAAAAGAGATACGAAGAAAAAGAATTAACAGGAAGAAAAATGAAGAAAAATAACAAAGAAAAAAAAAACATGAAGGAAATGTGGAATCAGAAAAAGAATGACGAAGAGATGAATGAAGCCGAAAAAGAATAAAGAACGAGAATTAGGTACAAAAAGAAAAATGAAAAAGAAATGTGGAAGAAAAAAAATTAAGAAAGAGAAGAAAAATGAGTTTGATGTAGAAGGAGAGAAAGAAAGAGAATGAGAAAGAAAAGGAGGAAAAAGGATGAGCTGCAAGAAGAGAAGAAGGGAAAATAAGTTTGTAATAAAAACCAGAGGAATGAGGCAGAGAGAGAGAAAGTCGAAGGTGCAGAATGAATGAGGAAAAAGAGTGATAGAGAAGACGAATGGGTGAAACGAAGGACGATAAAGAAGGAGAAAAAGAAGGAGAGAGACAACGGATGAAGAAGGAAGAAGAATTTTTAAAAGAATAAGGATGACAAAGCAGACGAAAAAGAATGGGAAAGAAAAGAATAGGCGGGATGCAGAAAGATATTAAAAAATTTGTTAATATGGAAAAAAAAACATGATGATGATGTTGATAATGATGATAATGATGATGATTGTGGAGATAAGAGAATCCGGGAGAAGACAAAGTTAGAAAAAGTGAAGAAGAAATAGCAAAAAAAAAAGGGTAAAAAAGAGAGAACAACAAGAAAAAGAAGAAGAAAAAGAAGAGGAAGATGCAAATAGAAGAAGAAGAAAAAAAAAGAAGAGGAGGAAGAAGAAGAAGAGGAAGAAGAAGAAATGGAAGATGAAAATACAATGCGAAGAAGAAGAGAAAAAGAAGAAGTAAAAGAAGAAGCAAAAGAACGGGTAAGTGGGAATAGAAGATGAAGAAGAAAAAGAAGAGAGGGAAGGTGGAAATAGAAGACAAAGAAGGAGAGAAAAAAGAATAAGAAACGGAAGGTGGAAGAAGAAGAAGAAGAAGAAGAAGAAGAAGAAGAAGAAGAAGAAGGTTGAAATAATAAAAGAAAAAAGAACAAGGAGAAAGAGAATTTTTGAAATAGAAGACGAACAAAAAGACAAAGGTGGAAATAGAATAATAATAATAATAATAATAATAATAAGAAGAAGAAGAAGAAGAAGAAGAAGAAAAGAAGAAGAAGAAGAAAAAGAAGAAGCAAAGAATAACCCCTTCAAAATTAGTTAATCGAAGATAGTCTAAAATTTGAAGTATCTGGATAAAATAAGGCAAGGATGAGTGAGAAATGAAAAGAAATGAAAAGAAATGAAAATAAGACAATAATAATAATAATAAGAAGAATTATTATTATTATTATTATTATTATTATTATTAGTAGTAGTAGTAGTAGTAGTAGATGATGATGATGATGATGATGATGATGATGATGAAACAAAATGGCAAGATATCGAAAAATGACGGGAACCAAAACATCTTCAGAATCATGAAGAAGATTGGAAAGAAAAAGAAAATGAATGAAAGCGTGTAAAATCCAGTAGAAAAAAAAAATGAAAGAGTGAATTTAAAAACAAAATAAACTCTGGGAAAGGAAAGCAGCAGATCTTGAAAGAGAAGAAAATTTGAAAGAATAAAGAAAGATTGGTGTATGAAAGGAAAGAACGAACACAACGAAAATACGTATATGTGTGTAAGTTTCTATGTACGTAGGACTGGGAGATATATACATACACATACACATACATATACATACATACATACATATATATATATATATATATATATATATATATATATATATATATATATATATATATAATTATTTATTTAAAAATATGATTCCAAATCGCTACATAAGAGGTCTCATGTTTCAAAACAAGAGCCGAAAACTACAATATAATCCTTTAAATTAAATTGAGTTTAAATTAAAATGGGATCCGTTCCATCTTCAAGCGAAATTTTTGTTGGAATAACGTATATCTGAAATTTACTTGTTTTAAAAATTGAAATCAAAATCCCCATGGTAACAGCTAGGGCGAATTGTTTAAAATGTGTAGGCGAGTGTAGGGTGTTAATAATAAGTAGCGGTATAGAGATACTTTCAAGGTGTCAAGTCGGGGAAAGGTGAGGGGTGTCTAAAATGAAACGGAAGATGTATTAACCTTCGTCTAGTTTGCTTGTCTATGGAGATTTATTTATTTATTTTATTTTATTTTATTATGAAAGGGAATTGTGCATATAAAAAAAGAAAAACTTTCGTAACGTTTGTTTTTTGACGACTTCATAAAGGGTTATCTTTTATGTAAGGTATTTAAACTATTTATTTGGGCTATGGATTATGAAGGGTGTTATGTTGTATGCATGTTTGTAGTTAATTATTCCTACTATGAATCTGATGATTGGGCTATTTGTTAAACAAGTTATATAAATTATCTAATAATTCAAACCAAAAATCTGATGATGCCTACAAAAAACCGTTAACTCGTGTCTATTATTTAATAGATTATTATTATTTAGAAGTTTAAAAATGTGCACATTATTAAAAATAATATCTAAAATACTAAGGGACTTTCGATTATTTACCTAACCAGTTCCTTCCTATTTTCTATATATTTTCACATATATATATATATATATATATATATATATATATATATATATATATATATATATAGGTGGCAACGGATAAATTGTCTAAATTAAGCAAAAATGAAAGTAACACTGACATCTCGTTTTAATAGATATATTTACGAAACATATGTAAAAATATCTTGAAATACGAAAGAGTAAATTTATTCAATAAAATCGCCATTGGCTTCCACCACAGCCTCCTGGCATATCCGGAATCTTCCGTAACTCTTCTAGACGGTCTCCTTGTTTAATTTAATGAATGCTGTCATAAACCTTGCCTTCAGTTCATCTTTGTTTTTATAAAGGGTGTTGTTGTTCTCTCGCTCAACTGAGGCCCAGACATAATAATCTTCTGAAAATTGTTACAATACGTATATACAGGGTTCAATGGGTTAATTCTAGCCATTTTATATGTGTAATTTCTTTGTTATTTATTTTGTCTTATTGCACAGTATAGTAAGGTCAGTTGCACATCGTCTGTAAAAATATAGCACAATGACACAATTTACCCCGTCAGATATTTGGAAACAGCTTACCGTACAGCTTGGTACCAGAAACTTGAAAAAGAAATAATAATATTAATAATAATACTAATAGTGAGTAGAAAAAGAAGCAGAAGGAGGAGACAAAGGTAGCCTCGGCGAAGATGGCGAAGAAAAACAACAACAACAACCAAAAAAAATAAAAATAAAATAACAATAATAATAATGACAAAGCGAAAATGATAGCGAGAGGACGAACTTAACCAAGAAGAAGACGACTAATAATAATAATATTAATAATGGAAATATTTTAACAATACTTATAAGAATCAATAAAATATGAGATGAAATTACGGTGATATTAACGGTAATATTAAAAGTGCTGAGGTCATCATTATTAACGGAACAGCTAATAATAATAATAATAATAATAATAAAACCAGAAACTACAATTCGAATATTTTAGTTAGGGCGTCAATCTGATGACAGTGCAGAAGAGTTGGATGAGTCTAAATTACGAAGGTACAGCAGCTCGGAAAACTCACTCTGATCGTTGGTAATAACAAACCAATTTGTTGGTGATGGCCTCAGCCTCAACTCAGAGGTCTACATCAAGTGCTTAAGGAGGTAGTTCTGCCCTGGGCCAAGAGGGTGGCTGCTGGAAAACCCTATGTCTAACAACAGAATTCTGCACCATGCTACACAAGAAGGGGAATCGGGTCATGACTGCTAGACAATTTCTGCGACCACATCACCACTTACATCTGTTTTTTTTTTAGCATTACTCCCCGAGCAAGGCGTGAAGCCACTAGGACGCAAGGGGTTGCAGAAGATTTGGAGCAAGTTCAGATAGGAGTGACAGAAGGAAAGATGAGGAGAAGGATAGTGGATAGATCAAGGCAACTGGAGATGTTGATTGATATTACATTTGAATAGTTGGAGATTATAGCTCTCTGGGAAACAGTAATTGGAAATGTTCCATTTCGAGTAAGAGACAATACATTTAAAAGTTTCTACAGTGAAAGGGTGAGAGCGGGATGCCAGCCTCGTAGGGCTTGAATTCAGGGGTCTGGGAACCAGTAAAAGCAGCTCATCGGAGAATTACCATGAAAGTCAGAGTCGACGGCGCGTCTGTGAGAGAGAAACTGTAGACGAGATACCAGATCAGGGTCTGGCCACTTAACTGTAGTCCTTATCTTCGTTGCTTTATTCACGACGTTTCAGCCGTTCTGTGAAACTTCATCCGCAATATATTCGAAGAAAATACAGCTACAATAATCTCACCGTCATGTACAAAAAAAAAGATTTAATGGAAGCAATAATAATAATAAGGAAGCTAAACCTCACATTCAATAACATTAACTAGGAATACGGTTGAGGGTGGTTAGACATTAAAACATTCCTATGACTTCAGATGCTTACATAAAAAAAACACACATTCAGTTAAAAATAAAAAAATATAAAATCGTACTAAAAGAATAGCCGAAAGTGGTCGGATATGCATAACATTTGGAGAGTTTTTAAACACATTTTGTCCAGAAACGACTTCTACGAACACAAGAAAAATTTAATAAAAAATTTAATCACAGTACTTTGTCAGTCGTCTTTAACAAGACTTATATATATATATACAAGCAGTAGAGCCCGGCGTTGCCCGGGGATGTAACAGTAAGAGATAGATCAAGTATCAACCATCATAAAGACTGAAAAATAAAATTGACAAAGATTATTGTTTAAGGTTGACGGACACGCATGTCTTAATTAGTTTTTTTTCGTTTTTTTTTTTTTTTGTTTATTTTTACGAATTGGTCAATTCCAAACTCAGACGAAAACATTGTTTTCAATCGTTATGAGTTCATCGATTGAATAGAATTTTGTTATAAACAATTGTCCTGTAAATGGAATTTTTAAAGCATTCTGAATGTAAAAATAAAGAAAAAAGTGTGCAAGAGAATAAGAAACACTACCTGCCAAAAAAAGTTGAAGTTTTCTTGAAATCGGTTGAAAAATGTAGGAAATTCGATACCATATATAAACGAACACACACACAAACAAACAACCTGCGTTTTATAAGTATAACTTGATATGAGTTGTCCCCCTTTCATTCTAGCGACAGAATCGTGTTTTATCGTGTTTTCAAATTGATTTCGTGCAAAAACAATTGTGTTTTTCCAATTTTTGGCACTGTCAGGATCGGCGCAAGGTAATTTTACGCAGTCCTGTGAAGTTTTGTTGAAATCGGTTGAAAAATGTAGGAAATCCGATCCAATATATAAACGTACAGACACACACATATACACACACACACACAATCTGCGTTTTATAACATATATATAAACTGGGACAAAAATCTACAGCTGACAAAAAATGAAAGACGTAAACCAAAGCAAAATTTCATGAAAATGCACGTGTTAATGAACGTTACATTCAAGAATACACACGTGTACAAAACAGGGTAAAAGAAAAGCAGATGGAAAAAGACGCGGAACAAATTTTTAAAAATTGGAAATATCGTTGAAAACCAGAACCCCTTTGTTGAAGCTTGAATAAGCATGGAATAATAATAATACAACACAAAATGTACGTAACAAAATGTATTGAAACAATGAAAAAAGGTACACAATATTTACAGGTAGTTTTGGTATATTCTTGGGAAGACTGTTCCTGCAGAATGGGTTGACTAAGTCGCAGTCGGGCAGAGTCTCTGGATTCGATCTCTTAATCTTCCGTCGTCTTCCGGTACCAACCCATATTTATATGGTCGGTACTCCACTTATGTAAATTAGGTGTATCATACACAACACCCTTAAAGATTGAAAAGTTTACCAAAATACTTAGAAGTCGGGATAAACTTGATATTTAAATGCTAAGTAATCTGTTCATATAATATTATTTCCAAATTTAAAAGAACGAAAAAAAATGTAAAGTCAAACGTTCATAATTTTAAAAAGGGCTCCATACAAGTGTAGTGCAATAGATTATATTTTATTATATATATATGTTATAAATTGTTACATCGGAACCTGCAAGTTACCACGAAAAAATGCATATTTGTTTAGATCTCTAATTAGAACATCTCATCAGGTGGTTAATATTATATATATATATATATATATATATATATATATATATATATCCTGCTTTTGGAAAATTTTTAAAAAATGTAAAAACAAGGGATGTTTCATAAATTGCATTTTTAAATAAAATCGTTTATTACCAACAATGTTAACAACCTACTGAGATGTTCTAATTAGACATCGAAATAAAAATGCATTGTCAATATGGTAACTTGCATGTCCCAATGTACCATATATATATTATATATATATATATATATATATATATATATATATATAACCTATATATATTATATATATATATATATATATATATATATAACCTATATATATATATATATATATATATATATATGTAAATGTATAAACATAAAATGTCGCAAGTGCTGGTGCTAATATAATAGTCCTTGGAAAGTTGTGATTGAAAATAGACCGGTGCATAATTTGAATTTTTCATATATATATATATATATATATATATATATATATATATATATATGTAAATGATAGTGGAGTAGTCCGTTTACTTATTACTTAAGTTATATTATATTATATATATTATTTTATTAATTAAATTTATGTTATATTAATAATATAACATAAATTAAAAATATTATTATTTACTTAACGATATAGCATAACATAAATAACTTCAATACAATCCATACATTTAAAAAAAATATAATTAAAAAAAATTCAATTTGAAAAAAAAATTACATTTAGAAGAAAAATTTAGTTTTGGAAAAATTCTTGAACATGAGTGTATACTCGTGTACATAAAGGATATAAAAAGATGCAGAAAAACTTGAACCTAATAAGCTTATTCAAACCACATACATATATAAGTATGGACAATTCCAAGAAACTTCGAAGTCGGGGAAAATTATATATATATATATATTATAAATTAATTGATTTAAAATATGGTTATTTTCATACACAGTTCAACCATGTTTCAAAAATAGAAGCTAAAACCCCTAATTTTATTTTTTTATAAATAAATTAAAACATTAATTCATTTTTCTTCAAAATTTTGGAGTAACTTTTTAAAAAATTAAGATTACTCCAAAAATTTTTGAAGATGAAAATGGAACTAATGCTTTAATTTAATTGCAAAAATAAAATTAGGGGTTTTTAGCTTTATTTTTGAAACATGGTTGGAACTGTAAAGAAAAAAAACCATATTTTAAATCAATTAATTTATAATATTAATGCTCTGTAAATTTACATTGAGCACTATTTTGTAAAAAATAAAATATCTATAAGAACACCGGATTTTATATCTTACTGTTCTTTCTTTTTATTTATATACATATCTAT